CTTTGTCTTAGCAGCGGGTGCGGCGGGGGCTTTGTCTTAGCAGCGGGTGCGGGCGGGGGCTTTGTCTTAGCAGCGGGTGCGGGCGGGGGCTTTGTCTTTGCAGCGGGGATGGCCTTGGTGGTCTGCAAGTAGCGGTGAGCGGATGCGTGCCGAGGGGGGCCAAAACTTACCGGTGGCTTGTCCGCGGCAACTGTAGGCGGTGCCCTCTTGCGTGTCGGGGGCGCGACGCTGGACGTCTTTGCCTGCGAAAGGACGTGAGCAGCGGGACACGCACGCGCACGCAGACGAATGCAGCTCACCGGCTCCTCAGACGCGACGTCTCCAGGCGGTGGCGGAGCTGCTTTCGGCTTGTGCTGCTTGGACTGAGAAGCGAAATCAGAGGAAGAACGCCCACGCTCTGAGCGAGACGGTTGAGACCTACCGATTTGGCGGGGGCAACCGGAGCCGCGTCGGCCTCTGAGGCAGCCGCCGGCGTTGTGTTCTTACGAGTGGCGGGCTGCAGCATGTGCGTGAGTGAGCGAATACTTATACGCATATGTGGTGTACCTCGTCTGGAGCGACAGATGTCTTGACCTTGGCCTTCGGCCTGGGCTTCGGCTTCGGCTTCTCCGCGGGAGGTGCGATCGGCCTGGTCTCTTCGTCGTCGTCTCCGTCGTCGTCGTTCTCCTCCTGCACGTCCTCGTCCTCCTCCTGCACGTCCTGGTGCACGTGTTCTGGCACATCGTCGGATTCGATGGCCCACTTGGCAAGCGGGTTCACGTCGTCAGGGGTGATCCATCTGAAATGTTGAGGAGTGAAGACGTCAGTGGGGACGAGAATCATGCTGGCGCCCATCCGCATGTCGAGCGGCGGCGGAGCCCTCCCTGTGTTTGCAGGTGTGGTCAACACGTCTTGCATGGAGTTGTACGCATGGGGCATCGCTGACTTGAAGTGGTCGACGTGCATGAACGCAAACGGATCCTCGATGTTCGGAACGGTGTCGACCGGGAAGAGGCTCGCGGCCGCAAAGTCGGGTGAAAGGACCCACGGATCGTGTGGATTATAGTGGCGAAACTCCTTGCGTTGGTAGTTCCACATCAACGCCTGTCGTTGCAGAGAAGGTAAGTGCTGACGACTGTCTGATGTGAAGAAGTACACATACCTTGACGCCGTGCATGAAAATGTCTGCGACGCACGCGTCGAGCTCGAAGCCGCCCTTGTTGGTAGGATTCAACTCGGCGGCACCGGAGACGAGCTTGCGGATGCACCGAAGGTAGATATCGATGTCTTTCTGGAGCCGCTCGAAGCGTCCACGAGCACCGAGGGCATCTTGATAGCCGGTGAGGTCCATGACGTCGTCATCGTTGTCCTCGACACCGTCTGCAGCGGCGTCGGTGGGTTCTCGCTTGTCTGGAGAGGAGGGTCCGGGCGCGACACTCTCGTGGCGTGCGTTGACGTGCACCGGGGGGCCGCCGTTCGATCGTTCGAGTCTGGCGATTGCCCTTACGAGGGCGGCGTCGTCGAGCTTGACGTCCGTCGGCGAGGAGAGGAGCTTCTGGATGGTACCGTCCCAGGGCTTGAACGTCCCGCTCTCGAGGCTGCCCATCTTGGCGCCGGACCAGGGGTCGAGGAAGTTGAAGAAGAGCGCGCGGAGGGCGAGGACGGAGCCGCCCCCGGTCTCCCCGCTGTAGTACTCCGCGCGCTGTTTCTTGTGACCTTCAAACAAGACGATCATAGCGGTGGCGAGGCCGGCGCACTTGCCGGGGCGAGACTTCGCAATGTCCTTGTTGAAATGCCAGCGGGGATCGACAAGCTGCATTCCGTGGAGCTCGGGGAACTTGGCCAGCTCTTCCTTCGTGAAGGGGGTGTGGTTGAACGGTGGGACGGGCTCATCATCGTACGTGACTCCGTAGAGACGGAATGACATGGACTTGTCGGCGAGGGCGAACTTCGCCGCGACGACCTCCTTATCGGCGTCCTTCCCCGCAGTGGTTACGCGCGGGACGAGGACGGACTTGAGAGCGGCGATGCGGGGCTGTTGCAGTTCGATCCATTTCTGAGTGAGGAAGACGCGGATGGGCTTGATCTTCTCCGCTGCCTTCGGCATGATCTTTGTCTCGGGAATGGCCGCGCCCGCCTTGACCTTCTTGGTTGACCCCTCGGTAAGGATCTTGCCCGCGCGGACCCACTGCTCCATCGACCACTGCCTGAGTACGGAGAAGTGGACGAGCTCCGTCGCGCTGAAGACAGTGTCCGCACACTTGATCGCTGTCAGGTGCCGGAGAATCCAGTGCCAGAGCTGTAAGGCGTGACGTCAACGGGAAACGAGGCGCAAACTAAGGAGCACATACTGCGTGCGGTATCTGGGCGGAATCGTGGAACCTGTCTGGGTCGCGCAACAGAAAGAGGAGGTAGTGAGTGTAGTCCGTGTATCCGCGCGTCGGCTGGCGAAGGGCGGCGTCCGCATACGGGTCGAGCAGACAAGTGAGCTGTGAGGCGGAGTCAGTCAACGTTGTTGTGCAACGTGCGTGCGGTCGTCTTGCTGTCTAGACGGCCGCGCAAAGTGCAACGTGCGGCCGTACGGGTGTCTACACGGCCGCGCGGCCGTACGGGTGTCTACACGGCCGCGCGGTCGTACGAGTACCTATACGACCGCTCGGTGTCGGGTGGACGACGTTCCGGTCACCTAGACATGTGCGCGGTCGTGTAGACACCTAGACGGCCGCGCTGTCGTACGGACAGGCAGACGACCGCACGAATGTGGGACAGTGGACACTCACCCATTGAATCGCGGTCGACGCGTTGTTGAGCTTGCTGAGCAACGTCTTCGTGAACGTCTTCGTCGGGAGAGGGAGATAGTACCCCTCGCCCGCTGCGGCCAACTTGATAATCCATTCAAGCTTCGGGAACGCGTCCGTGGTCAAAGCGACCTCGTCCGGGTCGGGGCTCGTTGCGGCCGTCAGCGACCACGTCTCTCGGCACAGCTTGCGTAAGGCCTCAAAGTACTGCGCCATCGCGTTGGACCAGGACGGGCGGTCGTCGCGGCCGAGATCCTCCATCACAGGAGAGACGATCTCCACGTACAGCTTGTCGACGCCGTGCAAGAGATCCGTCGTCCACACGTACGGAGACGGCGGCTTGGTGGCCCCCTTCAGGTAACGGTCGTACGCCAGGGTAGTCGCGTTCGCCTTGTACGGCCGGAAAGGGCCCCGCTTCTTGACGAATGCGTAGTACTTCTGGAATACAGGCTCTGCGGGGTCGAACGGCCTCGCCGTAGCGACGAAGTGCATCTGCTCGAGCAGACGGAGGAGGACCTGGCTCCACATCTAACGAGCGGGTGAGTCCGACGTGCTCGCAGCAGACTAGAATAGAACGGATGCGACTTACATACCCGGCCGGGCGCACGGCGGAGTTCGCGTTGCTCGGAGGCATGAGCGCCAGGTGGATCGTGTCGTAGTGAAGTGTGTCGCCGAGGCGGAAGTATGGGTAGGTCATGAAATCATTGTAGAAGCCGTAGGGGATCGTCTGCTCTAGCACCCACATGCGCTCCTTCATCTTGTGCTTGTCGTGCGCTGTGACCGTCTCGAACAGCAATTTCCACTCCGGTGTGCCGACACGCGGAGGTCCTGGTTCAGGCGGAGGGTGCGTGAGGGGCCAGTTGAGGATCGTCTCGCGCATGTCCTCGCGCCAGCCGAACATCCGCTCGTGCTGCTTCATCGGCACCTCGTGCGTGTCCTTGTTCTTGGACAACGCGCGCCGTTCCGCATCGTTGAGCTGCGCTGAGACACCGTGCGGCACGCGTCAGCGACATCCTTCGCCAGCGGCTAGAGAATGAGAAACGACGCACATGCGTATGACACTCGCACCGTCCATTGCATGCCCGTCTTTAGGCGGGTCTGGACCACCTGGAGGCGTTCGTGCGACGTCTCCAGGAGCTTGATGCGGTTCGGGCTGTTCGGAGTCGACACCAGGATGGAGTTGAGCTTGTCGATGATCAGCTCGAGCTTTGTCTGCGTCCGCGTGAGGTACTCCACGTAGTACTGCATCGCCCTGACCCGGTGCGCGCCGCTGCAGAAGATGAGCTTGTTCTTGCCCATCGCCTCCACGTCGAGCTTGGCGATAGGAAGCTGGTCAACGGTGTCGAACTCCTTCACGGGCTTACGGCCTAGAAACATGTACTCCTCGCCGATCGCCTCCATTGGGTGCTCATAGTGGCGCTTCGAGGACTTACAGAAGTCCTCCGCGATCACGCGCGCATCGGCATCGCTGATGTCGCGGCCGTTGTAGAGGTTCCACAGGCACACCTTCATGACTTCTGGATCGCTGAAGTCCAGGATGATGAGCCCCATGAGCGCCATCTTCAGTTTCTGGTACATGTCGAGCTCCGTCTGGTCGATGGTGCCCTGCTGCAGGATGTCCGTGTCGAGCGCGAACTGCTCCTCAAGGTCCTCGAATGCGATATCCTCCGGAATGATGTAGTTGGGGTCGAGCAGCTTCTGGTCGACGCGGTCCTCCTTGCTCGTGCGCTGCCAAAGTGTAAGCGCACAGCGTCGCCCAACAAAGATACATCATACGTACATGTGTGAGCGCTCTGGTGAGCAGGTCGATGGCGTCGTCCTAGCGTCATGATCATGTCACGTCAGCACAGCACTTAGCACGGAGAAGCGAACACTCACATTGAACTCGCTCATGTCGACGTCGACCTCCTGTATCACATACGCATGCGTGAGCGACAGGTCCGCGTTATACACAGACAAACGTACCGTCTCGCCGTCGCCCGTCTCAGCGTCGGTCAGGGGGGCGCTCGGTATCTCTACCGCATCATTGTCGCCCGGGAGGGAGACGATGTCTTCGTCCGCACCATCCGCGACATCGTCATCGGCCTCGTCTGCGGCGGCCTCGTCTGCGGAGGCCTCGTCTGCGGCGTCCTCGTCCTCAGCTTCCTCAGCGTCCTCAACAACGTCCTCGGCCACCCCGTCCGCGACAGCGTCTTCCTCATCCACGCCGACCTCGAGCATGTCTGCGTCTTCCTCGTCGACCTGCATAGTGTCGTCCTCCTGCGTGTGTCGCGTTCGTTCAGCATTCCCGCCAGCCTCCGCAGAGATGCAGAGGGGAGGACCTACCTCCAGTGCCTCCTCGACGTCCACCTCAGGTTCTGACGCGGGCTTGGATTTCCTTGTCTTTGCCGGCGGCGGTGCGTCCTCTTCGTCGTCCTCCGTCGCCTTCTGCTTACCCTTATCCTTACCTTTCATGTTGCGTTTCTTGGAATCCTTCGCGGTGTTGCGACCGCCCTTCCGGTCTTGCAGCCGCTTCTCCAGCGCGGCTATCTTGGCTTCAACTTAACATACATATATATCAATATAATCAGTGACACTGAACGACGGCGGTGGACGTACTGTCTTCATCCTCGTCGGGGGCGTCGGAGTCTGGGTCAGGAGGGACCCGTTTTGCCTTGGCCATGATAGGGCGGCGGCGGAGAAGGAGCGCTGCCAGAGGAGGGTGAGGTGAGTTGTGGGCGAACGCAGGAGAGTGCGGGGGACATTCACAAGACTCACGGTATATGTGAGAGCGAGTGCCCTCGCAGATCGTGGTTTCTCCGAGTCGCGCCAACCGCGCGGACTCGGTTATCCAGTCCCGTTGGGCTGTGTCCGCGGAGAGCAGCGGTCATCCGACCTCCCGGACGACCGCGCGGTCGTGTAGGGTCCCAGACGACCGTACGACCGTGTAGGGTCCCAGACGACCGTACGACCGAGAGCACGGCGCGCTCGAACGAGCGGTCGTCTGGGCTCCCAGACGACCGCACACGGTCGTCTGTGCGGTGGTGTGGATGTCCAGACGACCGCGCATCTGCTGCACGGTCGTCTGGACATGCCCCCGTGCGGCCCTCGGTCCGCGATCTGCGCGGAGTCGCTTGAGCGGCCGTATAGGCACCCAGACGGCCGCGCGGTCGTCTGGGTGTCGACACGACCGCGAGGCCGTCTCGGAATTGAGACGGCCGCGCGGACTGGTGCCGAGTGGGCGAGTGGGCGGTCGTCTGGACGCCGAGACGGCCGCCCACACGCACGTCCGAGCGGGACACCGAGCACCGCATCGGTGGCCGGGGTCATGCGCCTCCACGCGGGAGGCATCCGCTTTGGCGCTCCCGCCCAAGACCCCGACACCGTCCGCGGGCCCCCTGTCACCCGCGCGTTCGTCCCAGCGCGTTCACGCGCGCACCTGCTGGCGTCGCCTCTGGGCGCAAGTACATACTTCTCTCCGCCCGCAAATGTGCCGATACTCTCCTGCTCGCTCGACGCAGCTCAGCTAAACTACCACGAGGCAACGCAAATGACTCGCTAGCGCATCCGGTATACACCCGCCTGTAGCGCGAGGTGCTCTCGCATGCACATCTCCACCGGTGGAAGCACACCGCGTACAGTGCTCGGCCCCCGTTCCCCAGTAGGATGTAATATAGACATTTCGTAGGCACGCCCCTCTATCATGGCATTTGCAGGTCCATATGGGGCCACATCGAAGCCCACGAAGCTCGGTGGCAGTGAACGCCACCGGCCCCCCGACCGTCATTCAAATACACTGCACCCACACCGCCTTATGGGATCGGCGTGCCACTCACCAATACGGCGTTATAGACATTCCTGATCGCGGACATCGCGTGCCGCACCGCGCTCGATAACGGACCGCCCGCCCGCTCATATTCCAATATATTTAATATTTACTCACCCGCATGTCTGACAGCTGCCCACTCGCCCGCACATTTCCTCACCGTGCGGGCCAGCCAGACTCTGTTTGCGCACCGGGCGGCAGACGGGCGCTTAAGTGGCGGGCAGACGCTGGACTTGTTACTTAAATATCTCCGTCAGTTTTGGTCCGATCAGGATCCATCAACTCATTATATAATCAGAGCCATCAGGGCCATCAGAAAGTTACTTTATTTGGATGACTTTTGCCAAAAATTCCTGGCTCTAACCTAACTTTAACCCTAAGGGGCCATGAGATTCGCCCCCTTTATAGACAGGCAAGGTTGGTCACAATATTATATAATCTGTCACTCTTTGTGACCTAAGTTGCCTGCCAGGCAAGGTCAGTCACAAGATTATATAATCTGGTCACACTATGACCTAGTTACATCAGCTGCCCACATCAAGATATGATGTCATTGATCTATGTATCTAGGGTCAGGGTTCATAAGGGGGGACCTCAAATGCTTAGATAAGCAGGCTGGATTACATTGTGATGTCATTGATCTAGCTAGGGTCAGGGTTGATAGGGGGAGCCCTCAATTGATTATGTCAGCCTGCCTGCCAGAGTACTACACAATATAGTAGGCTCATATTGAGTGAACCAGACCAGATATATTTATGAGATAACTTGCACATTGTAGCCATGCTCAGGGGCTATCAGGGTCCATCCACAAGTCAGCTTACTTCCATGGTTTCTGGATAGATATGAATATTTTATTGACAGGTGGTGGTCAGTGCGAATTTTTCCGCTGCTTGCACAGCCACAAAAGTATCAGATTTAGATAGCCCTGGTCGAGGGGTGTAGGAATATGCCAGAATATGACTTTACTTCCTGCCTGGTTGTGGAGAAAAGGCTTACTTCCATGTTCAATACCCTTACTTCCAATGGAAGTAAGCTCATTGCCGGCCAACCAGGGCCGATAAAATCGCGAAATAACTTGCACATTATAGCCCTGATTGAGGGCTATCCAGACGCGCTTTAAAGTGAGCTTACTTCCAGGGTGGTTGCCGAGATATCGACCGAACACTGCTCAACCACTCAGCTTGACTGTGCACTGGAAGTAAGCTCATTGTGAGCCAGCCAGACAAGATAAAATCACGAAACTACCTGCATATTGTAGCCTGTATTAAGGGCTATCCAGACGCGCTTTAAAGTGAGTTTACTTCCAGGGTGGTTGTGGAGATAGGCCCACTTCACTCTGGGGCAGTGGCAGTGGTCAGAGCGAATTCTGGTACATTATGCACAGCCACAATTGTACCCATTCCAGATAGCCCTGATCGAGGGCTCCAAGAATATATCATAATATCACCTGACTTCCTGGGTAGATGCCCCAGAAAAGGCTTACTTCCATCCTGCATATCCTTACTTCCAGTGGAAGTAAGCTCATTGTGGCTGAACCAGGGCAGATAAAAATCACAGAACAACTTGCGCATTATAGCCCTCAATCA